TTTTGAGCATGCTCAGTATCACATACGTGTTTGAGATTCCTTTGAGCATGCTTAGTATCACATACCTGTTTGAGATTCCTTGGAGCATGCTCAGAATCACATACCTGCTTGAGATGCTTAGTATCATGGAAGATTGTTGACTACCAATTACTTGTGGTAATTCTTTGGGGACTCGACTTAAAAATTTCCCCCCAGCAAAAACAGAAGCCGCGTCACTAAGTTTGGACCTCTGGTGTTGAGTCATCAACAAATTTCAGGACATCATGGCATTGTAGCAACTAATATTCAGGCCCACTTTTTCCTCAGGCAAACTCGGGCGAGTCTTTGTTCGCTGGCGTTCGTCGTATGCTGTCTCGGTTGCAACAAGGCAACAGACGGACAAAGCCATCAGTCACCATCGCACAAGAATGATGAAACAGGCTTTGGACAGTTGGTGCACTTTCAAACAGCAGGCGATACGAAAACAGGTTTGTTTGAATTTTTCCAGCAGTACATTATTACAGCCAGAAGCACTCCAAAGCTTTTCAGTATTGCCTGAAACTGATTGCTATCCAAAGTCCTCCAAACAGGCTTCCAGAAATTCTCATCTATGAATCTTTGCTTTTTAAACACAATGATCTCAACCGTGCACCTCGTAACTCTGAAGTCCCAAATGATGGATTTTTTTCTCTCCCATGCATGATATGGAGAAAAAAAGGTTAACCCGAACACTCCTCAGTCCTCCAACAGGTGAAAGATTGAGGAATGTTAGGGTTAATGGCCTAAACAGGTGTTTTTTGCATAGCCTCATTTGCTTTCATATTTTCTTGCAGATGTGAGGCCATTGTGGCAAGAGTCACCCGGTGTGCATAAATTTTGTTCTTACAGGAATCAAGTGTGGGCACTGACTCTTTACTGATACGATAGCTGGACACGTGTGTGTGTGGCACTCTAGCTCTGTGCTGTTAATGCCTTGTGCTCATTAGCCAATGTCACACACTACACTTGACCTTTGATCCTATGGGGCGCCTATCATACAATACTGCATCAATGTACCTCTTGTCAGCTTTTGAAAACGTCTCTCGCTTGAGCAAATAGTTTCACGGTGAACATCGAGAGATTGATTTGGTTAAAACATTTTGTTGGAGGGGGACTGCTGGTTGGCCTGTTTATGGTTGGTGGCAGATTCCCCGACTTAGGTCATTGGAGATGTACGTATGTTTTGCAATTTATTTGTATTACATCCTTGTATATGTGTATCAGTTGCTGATGAGACAGGCTATGTGGTTACAGAACACCAGGTTGTCTGCAAAGTTCTTTTTGAGGTGGAGAGCTGAGGTTAGTGCCTTCAAGATTTCTGGTTCATGATTTGAAAAAAGTGATGATATTTTGCCNTTTGAGCATGCTTGGTATCACATACCTGTTTGAGATTCCTTGGAGCATGCTCAGAATCACATACCTGCTTGAGATGCTTAGTATCATGGAAGATTGTTGACTACCAATTACTTGTGGTAATTCTTTGGGGACTCGACTTAAAAATTTCCCCCCAGCAAAAACAGAAGCCGCGTCACTAAGTTTGGACCTCTGGTGTTGAGTCATCAACAAATTTAAGGACATCATGGCATTGTAGCAACTAATATTCAGGCCCACTTTTTCCTCAGGCAAACTCGGGCGAGTCTTTGTTCGCTGGCGTTCGTCATATGCTGTCTCGGTTGCAACAAGGCAACAGACGGACAAAGCCATCAGTCACCATCGCACAAGAATGATGAAACAGGCTTTGGACAGTTGGTGCACTTTCAAACAGCAGGCGATACGAAAACAGGTTTGTTTGAATTTTTCCAGCAGTACATTATTATAGCCAGAAGCACTCCAAAGCTTTTCAGTATCGCCGGAAACTGATTGCTATCCAAAGTCCTCCAAACAGGCTTCCAGAGACTCTCATCTATGAATCTTTGGTTGTTAAACACAATGATCTCAACCGTGCACCTCGTAACTCTGAAGTCCCAAATGATGGATTTTTTTCTCTCCCATGCATGATATGGAGAAAATAAGTTTAATGGCTAAACAGGTGTTTTTTGCATAGCCTCAAGTGCTTTCATATTTTCTTGCAGATGTGAGGCCATTGTGGCAAGAGTCACCTGGTGTTTATAAATTTTGTTCTTACAGGAATCAATTGTGGGCACTGACTCTTTACTGATACGATAGCTGGACACGTGTGTGTGTGGGGCACTCTAGCTCTGTGCTGTTAATGCCTTGTGCTCATTAGCCAGTGTCACACACTACACTTGACCTTTGATCCTATGGGGCGCCTATCATACAATACTGCATCAATGTACCTCTTGTCAGCTTTTGAAAACGTCTCTCGCTTGAGCAAATAGTTTCACGGTGAACATCGAGAGATTGATTTGGTTAAAACATTTTGTTGGAGGGGGACTGCTGGTTGACCTGTTTATGGTTGGTGGCAGATTCCCCAACTTAGGTCATTGGAGATGTACGTATGTTTTGCAATTTATTTGTATTACATCCTTGTATATGTGTATCAGTTGCTGATGAGACAGGCTATGTGGTTACAGAACACCAGGTTGTCTGCAAAGTTCTTTTTGAGGTGGAGAGCTGAGGTTAGTGCCTTCAAGATTTCTGGTTCATGATTTGAAAAAAGTGATGATATTTTGCTNAGTCTGTCTCTTCATAAAGGCAGTCACAAATCTCTTCGTAAAAATGGTGACGCAATGTTTCAGTTGGTTGAAGCCATTCCAGAAGTCATCACAACCAAGACCCACAGTCTGATCTCTTGCTCAATTTAAGATGAAAGCCGTCCTCGAGTTACTGTAAATTCCATAGACACGTTTTTCCTTCCACAAATGTAGTTTCACAAGTCCAAGGAGCACCAGACTAAGACGATCATGGCACTCTGGCAGTGGAGCCTGGTGCTGCAGAGGAGGGTACTAGATGCCTGGCTGTCCTACACCTCAGAGCGGCAACGCAAGAAGCAGCGTGTGGCCGCAGCCATGGCCCAGCGCAGGCAGCACATGCTGCGGGAGGGTGTCGGCCAGTGGATGAGGGTGGGGACTTGCTGGGCTGAGCAGAGGTCGAAGGTCGCAGCCCAGCAACAGGCCAAGGTGTCTGGTTTTTCCCAAAAGATACAGATTTTTCTCTCCGGGCAAAAGTGGGATTTGATGCAGGATTGAGATTAAATGTGGAACCAAATACATGTATATAACCACAAAGCCGTTCTAAAGATTTGTAAATCAGTGACAGTAGGTCTTTGACTGATGACATCACACATTAATTATAAGTGCACTATGGAGCTAGTAGGGGCCCAAAGTAGGGTCCCTAGTCCACTTAGCTTCATAGCAAAGCGCACAGGCAAACAAAATGTGTTGCATCACACACAAGGGCCTTCCAATTTTATCCTTGTAACGTTTTTATCAATTACTTGCAATAAGATTTGAAGCTTTGCCTGGGGAAGGTGTGATTGATGAAGTTTGTGTTGACGCCATGTTGGAACAACCTCTTTTGGGAAGAAGCATGGTTTGATGAGAACCAGTGTTTTGGGATCAACAGTTGGACCAGTAATGCCCCAGTCATCTTCAGGAGTTGGTTAAAACCACCCTTCTTTTCAAAAGAGTACTTTAAATACTGAGCAGAATGAAAACAGACTTCCATCCAAGTGGAGATATAGTTTACTTCTCTCCAGCCGTGGAACTTGATTCATTTTTCTTTTGCAGAGTGCATACAAGATCTTCCATGTGGTGAGACGCTGTGCAACCCACTGGAGACTCATGACCCAAAGGAGGCGCTCCATGTTAGACACAAAACCCCCAAGCATTTCCCATCAAGCTGTCCAAGGTCACATACCTCTCACGCCTCCTCAAGACGCTGTGTCAGTTGCGGGAGACAACACTTTGTCCTCTCCCACTGACCATTTGATGGCCAGAAGTAGCCTGGGCAGAGTGCCAAGTAAGGGGCCAGTGTCTTGTAGCACACTGCCCGTCATTGCTTTGAGTTCGAAACCACACCTGAGAGAAGGATTCCAGGCGGTCAGTAGGTAAGGATTACTTTTAATTGGTACAAGTTTATGATTGGGCTTGTAGGGAAGGTTTCAAGTTTTGTGAAACTGTAACTGGATTAGTGCAGATTGAGAAGATGAGGACATTTTGGTCCTCGGAAGACTGGGATGTGAACGTCTTCATCGGGCAAATGTGCTCTGATAAGATATCCTGTCATATTTCTATCAGGTAGAGGATGCCTATGCATTGGGATTATCCGTAAAAACTTCAGGATGATTCAATATTTTGGAGTTTGTTGTTATTGATTCATTACAGAGCAATGCTGGAAGGTGAGTCCCCACTCAGAGCGAGGCCAAAACCCAGACGTCCTGACTTCCTCATGGACTCACTGCAGAAAGAGGGCTTATGGGCTAGTGGACCTAGGCCAGCCCAGTCAGTGCCAAGGTAGAATTATTTGAATATATCAGCGAATATAGAGTCCTCAGAAGAGAAACTAAGAGTCTAGGAGTTTTCCAAGAGCTTGTTTGAAGATAAGTGAAAATGAAAAGTAGAAATGCTTACAATCAAGTGTGATGAGAAGATGTCATGAACCTTAATTGGTCGGCTTTGAATTTTTAGGTTCTTGTTAACATTTCAGAAGTATTCCCAGAGCAGCAAAATCTTTGATGGAACTTTCTTAAAGTACTGGGAGATGGTTGATTCTCAAGTAAGCAACCCTCCAGTTTTGTTTATTTCAGTGAGGCACCATATGAACCCGAACAAGAACTGTATCTTAAGCAGCAACAGATCTCATCTGGGAATGCCCAGGCCAAATACCAACCAGGCCTTCCTCTAGCCCCTGAGACTGAGTCTGTGCCTCGAAGAGTGCAACCTCAGCCAGCTTCAAAGCCTGATTATCACATACCTAGACCAGAGAGGTTAGAACCGATGCTGAGAAGAGTACCAGTGAGTCCCAACTCTGAGGACGAGGTAATGCAACCCAGGGGGACCCGGCCGCTGGTCACTGAGGTTGACAAGAACAGGCCGGAGGTTACTGACTTGCTCTCTTGTGGACAAAGTATTGAACATGTGAGGTGGGAATCTCAGGGGGGTTCTGTCAGAGATAAAGAGGGAATGGGTTCTTTACCTGTTGAATCTCCAGGGACAGGAAGGGAAAACTCTGCTAAGCTAGGTTCCTCTCAGGGAGAAGTATTTGAAGAGACAGGAGGTTTGTTGGAGACTCACACGCTTAGTCATCTAAGGCAGGATGCACCTCTTCAGCGTGATGAAGAGAGAGGTCTGGAGCTGTCTTCCTCTCCACCTCCAACGAAACATGTTCTGCTGCCACCATCTGCTTTCATGACCTCTAAAGGTCAAACAACTCCCAAACCCAAGCAGAAGGCACAAGTCCCCTCTGCCGCAGATCGACAGCTGGTAGCAGCATCATTCCGGCTCAGAGATAGTGAACAAGAACTGCATCGTGATCACTTACAGGCACATGAACCACAATCAGTAAACTTGAGCACAGGACTGAGAGACCAGTACACCCAGCCAGGCTTGCCCCAGCAGAGCCGAGAGCAATACAGACATGCAGGAATGAGAGACAGGATGAACAGTGCACAATCTCAAGACATTTATGAAGAGGTTCAACAAATTCACGAGCAGTTGCAAGAATACCAAAGGACTAAGGAAAGATACAGGTAATCGAGAGCAAAAAACTTGACACCACAGAAATGATTCCAGTCTCAGTAGCTGAAGGATGTCTGTTGGATGCGATCCTCACATTTTCAGAGCATTACCTGCGCTTTTCATTGCCACCCACCCACTGACTGTTCGGAAGAATTGATGCATTTAACAAGTCTAAGACGTACTTATTCAAGTGTAGAAATCTGTGACTTAATGCCTGCACCATTGCTGTCCATTCATAGAACACTGAAGGAACAGGGTGATCAGCTTGGCACCTGGTTGACAGAGTACCAGCACACCCACGGAGAGAAGGCTGAAATTGAAGACCAAGATGTCCTTGAGGTGATGGAGGAACTTGAACAGGTATAGAGTCTTCTAGAGGCAGAAATTGGTTTTTCCAAAAGCAGTGATTAAGGTTTTGTTTAGAAGGGGAGTCAAACTTGATGTTGAGTGTAACTCTGCTTTCTTAGATAAATGTAAGTGCTCTACATATGCTGTCTGTTTTTGATTTTTTGTTTAGATCGGACTCGAGATGGCCGAGGTATCGGCAAAATTGAAAAAGGACAAGCCCACTGTTGGAAGGCTCGTCTTGAGGGTCACAGCGCTTATGGCTGAAGCACAGGAATAGATCAGTTGCCTCTTCATCGAATGCTTACATCGATTGAGAACAACTTGAGAGAGAGAGAAATTATGAGATTTGCGGACTGTTAAGGGCTTCTGTGACATTGTCGTCTTACACGGATATGGTAACATTGTACCATGTTAGTCACCGTGTGTATGTGTCATTAACTTTGTAGAGGGCTTTTAAGTAATTTTACATTTTAAACAAACTGCGGAAAAATATTCAAAGCAATGTCTGCAAGTGGAAGGTTATCCTAAAGAAACAGTTCTCAGTGCTGGGTTTGGTAGACCCCGAGTCCGTACTTTGACAGTTTGTACCAAAAGTGACTTCACACAGCCGGGGCAAGTGCCCATCAGGCATTTGTTTGTACTGGTAACCATGACTTCAATACTTTCGTTATGACTTATCTATGTATTGCACTTGATTAAATCTGCATGTAATGATAATATATATCAATGTCAATATGAAAATAAATGTTGAGTGAATATCAGCAATGATTGAACAAGTAATTGTAGGAAATGACAAATTAGATTCGTCAGTTCTTTAGATGGCATTTGGTGGTTGATGACGTTGCTGGTTGATATGATAGTTCTTAAGATGGCATTTGGTGGTTGATGTTGCTGGTTGATTGGGATAGTTCTTTGAACGTGACGCACAGAGGTTGATTACACTGCTGGATTTCAGATCAAAATGCGCAGCAAAGAGCCGTGATGGTGAATACAGGGATTACACTTCACGGCTTTTCAATGGTTCCGTGCCACGTGAAAAGAATGGTCACCGAGTACCAAGTGCCGGGGGTCTCTTGTCAATGCATGGCATTTGACCGTGGGATATTCGTAGATACACAAACAAGTCAATGCTTCATTACATCTGCATCCCGTCACTACGTGTAAAAAACTCTCGTTAAGCCAGTGCACACCCGTTGGCAAGTTCTTGCATGATCATCGTTCCCGTTTATTGTTTGTGTGCACGTGCTAGAAGTTGTTTGTAAGACGTTGACCTTTCCCGTCATGTTTGTGACCTTTGGTAGAGGTTTCAGAAGCAACGCAAGAATATTTTAGCAGTAGAAGAAGAGATCGACTTCATGTATGCTTCAAAAATGAAAGGAAAAATACCAATATTTCCCTTCACCGTGCTTTCTGTACTTGCAACTGGAGTTTGTGAACCGTGTATTTTGTTACAAGGAGTGCCGCGTTGCTGAGACATGAAATGCATAGTCTGTTAACTTAGAAACGCGTATTCTTTGTCCGTCACAATGGTTCCCTTGTGGAACGGTCCTTGCATACCGTTTTGTCAACGAAGAAGGTCATTCGGGAACAAAGCACCCGCGCGTATCCACTTAAGGCGGCGCTGATAGGGCAGACCTTGCACGCGCGCCCGAATGACTTTGGACGCGCTTCATTGTGGGCATGCGCTGTTGGAATACCGAACAGGTTCGTGGAAACAACGCGTGAAATTAAGAAATAATAATAACGATCTCCACGTCACAATGTCGTAAATATAATGGGTATTTCCAACCAAAACAAAAAATGTAGTGGAAGTGTGGTCGAGACACTCGGTGTTGGCGGAGCGTGGTCCACGTAGGAGCTGGCCTCCGTATTTCCTTGCACGACCCAACAAAGATGTCCGTTTCGAAGGCTTCGCGAGGAAGCCGAAGGGGTCGTTCGTCGTCAGCCACGCCTTCCGTAGCTGGGTTGAAGGCGGGATCATCTCAAAGTTCTCGTCGGACTGGCCAATCTCGAAGCCACGCTCAGCGACACTCACCCATGAAGTCTAAGTTACCTGCTGTGATATCTGACCGGTTTCAGACTTCACGGTCGGGGGTCAAGAGATCAAGCATTGTTTCCAGGGCCAGAGGTCACCACAAGGTGTTCAGTTCATTTTGTTTTCTTTTGAACAAAATTGCAAATGCTAAGAAAACTAGCTGAGAGAGCGCACAGACCGGTTCGTATTCAATGCGCAATCACACTTGTGACGTCAACAGACTAAGCATGTCGGCTCTGTGACCTTTAACAAATGGGCTATACGTTTCAGCTCTATAGGATTCGCGCTTCGTGGCGTCAAATTAGTGTGTGAAGTATGAACCAGTCAGGAAAAATTGTGCAAAAAAGGGTTAACACTGGGCATGCTTCATGGGTTCTGGGATGCAGGCCTACTTATTTCGATATTTCATTGTCCCTGAGGCTTTGCCCCTTTCCTTAAAATTCCTTGTACAAGGTAATGTCATCTTTCTTTTTCCCAAGTGCTCAAGTCTTTCCATAAGCTAAGAGCACCTTCAATTTTGTTAATGGATAAAGAACGTCCTGCTGATATGCCTCGAAGTTCAGCTACTTCAAACTTCTCTCTCCCTCTAACGAAACTTTATTGCATCTCAAGCTGAGCAAGAGACCCGCTGGCCGTCAAAAGTTCCGACGGGCCCCGCCTTTCACCAGGGTCTTCTCGCAACTGTCTCACTCGCGCTACTTTCTCCGAAGCGCCTCGTCGACGAAAACTGGAAAGCGGTCATCGGCCCAACGCCGAATATCGTTCCAGTGTGATGTGGCGCGATATTCCCTGCGCTCCTTGGCTGGGATAAAGCGACAAGTGGACCGGGACAACAGTGCGTCTGACAGCGTAGTGGGCCGCCGGCCACGCGGTACGAGTGGAAAGGTACAGTCCTGCTGAATACGGGCAATGGGCAATAGTGCGCCTCCAAGAGTTTGCCAATCACGACGCGCGAAATCTGTCTCATGGTGGCGCAAGATTGTGAAACGCCCGTATTGAAAGCCCAGGGTGACTTAAGGAAACGAATACCTTTGTCACTAAGAAACTCAAATCTGCCCTTTGCTACCGGAGGAAAAATACAATGAGCATAACTTCCATCTCTGAGAAATCACAGAGAAACATATTGTGCTTTTTATGGATAGGCCCTATGCCGAAAAACTGGCCCAAAATTCCTTTTCAGTAGTTTGCATGTCTGTATTAGTTTGGTAAAGTTGTTTTTCTTTTATTATGTAGTGGAAAGGTACCTCAGGAAATGAACAAAAAGTTAGCCAAATTCTTATTTTTAAAATTCTTATCTTGTTTTTTTTCTTTGTTCTGTTTTCGTTCTTTTTAAATTTATTTACTATATAATGACAGAGCGCTGGGTCACCGAGGGATGATTCGAGTGAGCCTGAGGACTCCTCCGACCGGACCAAAAGGAAGCGGAAAATCTCTGCTCAGCCCCCACCTCCCCCTAACACACCTTGCTCAACTCCGGAGACCATCACCCCACCGAGTAAGAGGGCTCGCTCCTCACCCGTGTTCAGTGTGAAATCGACCGCCGGTAAAACCACCCGGCCCCGCACGGCACCACCTTCAGGGCGCTCTGGGACCACACGCCGCCGCCCGGATCTCGACCCGCGGGAGAAGAACGAGCCCGCGGCAAAGAGACAGCGTCGACACGAGACCGTTCTGATGGTAAGCGGACCTGTCTCACTTTGACATTGATTAAGAATTCATGTTAAAAATTATCTATAAAAATTTTTAGTTTCTTTCAAAAATAATATTCCGTTCAAACCTTACAAAAAGTCGTGCAATATATGAAATTGCATTAATGACCACTTTTCTTCAGCGTTACAAATCTTATGCGATTGAAAAAAGTAAACAAAATTTTACATATCACGACTGCACTTTAAATTGGCTCTGGAGTTGTGTTGTGTGAATTGTTCATTTCGTGGGCACTTCAAATCAATTATTATTTTTTCGAATGTACTATTTAGTCTGCGTGTGTACCTGAATCATCATCATCTTGTAGTCGAATTGTAATTGGGAATATTCTATGAGATGAGTTGACCAAAATTAGGGCAGTTTCTCACGAGTTCGCAAATTGAAATTACAGGATCTGAAGAGGCGACTGGATGCTATTCGTGCCGCGGCTAGGAAACGGGATGTCGTTGCCATGCCAACCGTTCGCATCCGTTGGGAGAGGGCGCTTGATACTGGGAGCAATGCAGTGTCAGTCACCGCTGTTGTCAGGCGGCTCAAACGACAGTTAGCTGAAAGCACGCCCATCATCAGCCAAATGAGTCTGCGCAACGGCAAAACAAAGTTCAACCAGTTTGAATAGCGACGCACAAGTATTCAGTATTGTATACCCTACCGATAGTTTTTCGCTATTACCGACGTTCACTGACTAAATACCACAAGTAGACAAATTTATAGTTCCTATAGTAGCTTCATTTGGGCAAGCATTATATCCTTTTCAACAGGACTTTAACAAATCCCAGCTATATATTCCCAATAATTATGTTCAATTCACGTCTTATTCATACTCAGAAACAGAAGTTAACACAAACCATAGGCTTTGTTAAAACAACATCACATTACATCATATTGTAAAATGCATTATTATAAATAAGTGAAATTTACTGTCAGATGCGAACTTCGAACCATCAGATTAATATTACTGTGATAATCTTCCCCAGACTTTTAATCAAAATGGTATTTTAAACAATTATCCTATAATTTGACTTAGAGGTTTGATGGGTAAAGGAATCAGTGACATGAATCCGACAATTCTTGAAATGATTAAAATACGTACCCGTGGGTAGAGTTCGATAAGCATATATATGAATCACACAGTACAAGTTTTAAAAAGGCACATACATTCACAATATAACATCAAATTTTAATTAAAGTTACAACTGAATTCTGTTTTTAAATCAAACTCATTCGAACAACAGCAATGACTCAAGTGGCCAGCGAAATAAATGGAAAGCTTCCAGTTATCCGTAAGACATCTTTTGGTTTAGTCCGACAGCAATCCAACTGCTCTGTTTTATACGCCCGTTGAACTCCTAACACATGAGATCATTGAAAAAGGTTTAGAAAGTGAGGGGACTGAGCTGAACAGGTCTCTGGGGGTGTTATCTTAAACCTCTATTATTTTCAATTAACAGTCAAAACAGGAGCTTGAATTGGTTTTGAAGTGGTTATTGTGGAAGCAGATACGATCAGCACCTTGTTACAAATTGACCGAGGCAGGGTACATTGCACAAGTTCAAGTGAAGTTGTTTTCCACGAAACTGCCAACTCTGAAACTGCACAATTAATGCGGCCGATTCACAATAGCGCGCCTCCAAGAGTCTGCAACGCGTTGGCCAATCACAATGCGGGAAATCTGTCGACCCAATGCGAATTTGGAAAGGTTCGCCAGATATCGCGCATTGTAATTGGCCAACGCGTTGCAAACTCTTGGAGGCGCACTATTGTGAGTCGCCCGTGTTGAACACCCGCTGCCTTCTAAAAAAAAAAAGTCAGTTTTCAGTTAAAAATTAAAAGAATGTCTAAAAAAATAAAGAACTAAAACAGCTGTGTGATAATTTAGGATTGAGTGCGTGCAAAAAAAAGTTCATACTTCCATTGGTGTGACTGAAAATGAGTTGTGTTTCGTGCATTATAAATATTCATGGAAAACAAGACGAGCTAAACAAACGAAAGTATCAGTCTAAGTTGTAAGATTAACCTATTTGATACCAAAATGAATGATTTCTGAGAGTTACTTTGGGAGAAAATGGATGTTACTTTTGGGTTGCGGGATTATATTGGGACATACTGTGGTAGTTTCGAAGATAAAATTTGTTAGTTTTGCGCTGCATTGTATGGCTACAACAAGAGTGTTCGGTGTTCGAAATTTTGAATCAGCTTGACTGCTAGAAATACACCGACTTGAGAGCATGTTCGCCGTGCATGGAAAACACGAACCTCTCGACGTTGTCCTCGTTGACAGCTTCATAGACATGGCCGTCGTGTGGTTTGTCTTCGGTTACCGGGGTAATAGATTCCTGGGGTGGATTAATGTCTTCCCGCTTTTCCTCGGCGCCATCGCCTGGGCTGTTCTCGGCGGGTTCTGCTGCTTCAGTTACATCTGCATCTTTCTCCAACTCGGTTTTGCCATCTTCTTTGGTCACTTCGCCCGCTAAGTTAGTCTCCTTGCAGCCGCTTGTTGCCTCCCCTGCGCCTAGATTGCAGCTCATCTCCCCCAGCTCATTACCGGCACTGTTAATCTCCTCTTCGCGTGCTTTCAACGCCTGACCTTCGACCTCACCCCCCGGACCGCTGTCCTCACCCCCAGTCTCCTTCTCTTCCGCGTAACCCTCGTTCTCCTCCCCCGCGGCAGCTGCGCCCAGCTCGCGTGGCCCTGACACCTCACTGCGAGTTTCGTGGTGGTCCCCCTTCTCGCCGATGAGGTTCTCCAGGTCCTCGCTGTTCCTCCTGCCAGGAGATTGGGCGAGGTAGCAGGCGAGAAGAGGCAGGAGCAGGCCCCCAGTGACAAGGACGGAGCTGGCCACTACTATCCCTAGTCGTGCCATTTCCATGTCTGTTTAATAAGATCCCATTGGAAAAGAGCATAGGATATCGGTAATGGTATATGGTAATTTTTCTAGCTATCCAGTTCGTAAGTGTGACGTCACTTCAGTTTAAACCACACGTGCACTGCACATAGGGTTACATGCATTGATCGCCGGTTATGTGGAACCATGGAACCGGAAGTTAACGCGCAACTTCTGCGATCGTCCAATGGGAGCCTGCGAATCGTGGCGCGTCTGCCTTTGTGACGAAGTCACTTACGAACCGGATAACAATGAACCTTTATGCAAAGTAGAGCTAACCGTCTTTTCCTTGTACTTCTGTAAGGAAATTAATTTTGTCCTTTGATTTTAAGCCATTTTCCATACAGACCTTCGGACAGTATGATCTTCGCTTCAAACTTACCTCTGCTTGACGCGATCATATCTTCGCCGTCTCCGTCAGCTTCACATTTCACTCCCACGTCATGCGAGTGCGTGCACGCCTCCTCACCCGCGGTGACATCGCCGCCCTCCGGGCAGACAGCGAGCGAGAAGATTTCGCTGCACACCACCGGCCCGCTCCCTGGCTCGGCCGGCAGGTTCCAGCCGTTGTCTTGCACGCCGCGGTACCCGAGGTGCTTGCAGACGGCATCGGCGAAGTACTCGGTCCAGCCCCGGCTGCAGAGGGTCCCCCATTCGTTGTCGTAGAATACCTCCAGGCGGCCTTTGCCCTGCCCGACCGCGGGGCCCGTCAGGCGGAAAATGTACCCCAAGCGATCTGTTGAATGCGCAGATAGTTAGATCAAAAAATTAGTTGAAGAAATGAATTAAAATGAGGACCCATTCACGTTACTGCCTCGTCCACTCGATTTCAAAAGAAACCTATGTTAGTAATACATCTACGATAATGTATGCGATAATGTCCAAAGATGAAATTGGCCATTAAAACCAGAAGGTAGCACTTTAAAAAGAACTTATAAACGGTGGCGGGTTTTTGCGTAAAAAGCCAAAATTTCTTGCTCTTCCCTTTCGCATAATTCGGAGCCTGAATCTTTGCCAAAACATAGCTCACCCTTTAAATAATCATCGCCCATAAATGAACAAAATTATTTTAATACCACACATACTCAGGAAATCTTCAGGTTCCGGATCCCACTCGCAGCGCAATCCTACGTCATCACTGTGTGTGCACACGTCAACGCCCTCCGATGGGCAAGGCGCTAGCTCACCGGCTTCGGCGTCCGGGCACCAGGGAGGTCCGGTCCCCGCGCCCAGGTGCACGTCCCAGCCGTCCGGCCGCACACCCTCGAAGCCCAGCCGCCGGCAGGTATAGTCAGCTAGCGGGTAGGTCCAGTTGTGACCACAGACGGTGACCCACACGCCGTCCACGTAGAGCTGTAGCCATCCCTCGTTTCGTGCCGTCCCGCCGCCCAGGTAGCCGACTTGATGGATAAAGGGCGAAAGAAAGACCCCCCCCCGAATGAAGCCAAAATGAAGCCTGCATGACGTGCCACTTTTAAATGTCAGCATCATTTATAATCCTTATTTATAACTGCTATGCAACCAACCAGTCCTTTTCCCTTCGAAAACCCGACGGACCCGGGATTCAAATCTGACGAGCAAAATTCACAATGTTTTTGAGACTCACCGTCCTCTTCTTCCCGACATGTATTCAGAGATTGAAATTAAGCTACAGAGAGTCGATCTGATGTGATCTTGTCTCCACTCACTGAGCCCCTCGGGTGATGAAAATGTTGTATCAATCATGATTCTCCTTCTAGTGTGCGGTTCTAATTCTGCTCCCCGGTGAGTCAGCATGATTGCCATATCTCGAATAAAAAGCGGGCAAATCACACGCCTGCTTCTCTGGCCATCCCCTAAATGGCGAAAGATATGTTTGTTTTTATCCCAAAATTAGCCCCAGGAAGCAATTACCGGTAAGTGGCCCGGTTCTAAGGGCCTGCGCTGCCGTGCTGTAGAGACTAGGTGTCCGACTTTGCGTGCACGCATGGGTAAATTATCGCGCCAACATAAGCATGAGTTTGCATTAGGCTATTTCTGTCGAACGTGAAAGCAGGATATTTGGCTCGACTTCGCAAATTCGCTCGGTCTCAGGAGATACAAAGATTTCTGACGTACGGAATAAGTAAGCGCTGGATTTTCGACAACACATCCCAAATCGCCCTAGGTGTAAAACACAAAAATGTGAATGATATCGATCATCTGTCCGATTGATGGATTTATGTTAATATACCCGTTAGCGCACCGAGAATTATTGATCGCTACAGATGTGCGCCGCCAAATGGCATAAAAAAGCATAATGGTATCCGCTAGTAGTCTGATACCTATAAAGTCGAGATACGACCTGAAAAATTCCGTAGGGAGATGTGAGAAGCGACAGTTATATTAAGGGTGTAGTCCACTAATTCAATCCCAAATAAAAACAGTGTAAACTCGGCATTTTTTAGGAGCCATTAACGTGCGTACCAACATCCCTAAGGTATTTGAAACACATGTTAAATTATTGTATGGTCCCTAATCTTTAAGTTTCTTTTTAATTTTCTGTTGGTTAAGTGACTATATTCTTAGTTATTCCCACAAAACAAATTACCCCCGAAAAGTGATTTTTCCGAAGTCTGCTTGCATCCATTTTTCAAGTGACAACCCTCAACTTTATCGGGCACTTAGGACCATTTTCAACCGTAATTTGTAGCCATTCTGCTCCCAGATAAAAGCCCAAATACCCAAGGAGTTGATTCTGCCAACGATTTACACAATCTCATCATTTGGGGGCCATACAATCTCCTTTTTCCCCCCAAAAGATACCGCGGGGCCACTTTAAATGCTGAGCTGGCCAGACATTCTTACTTGAATTAGTGGACTGCATCCTTAGTGCACGCGGATAAACTCTGCCTTGACAAAGGGTCCGTCACAATGCTGAACTTAAATAGGCTTTGATTCACCGTAAAACCGAAAGGTGTTAGCAAGTGATAAGCGATAGAAGGAAGCACCCTGCGGGTCCTTGTCGGTAAAAGTATCTCAAGTTTTCATGGGAAAGACTTTACCAAAGAGTTCCGTGGACTTAGGTTTTGGGCCGGGGGGCCGGGGGCGTTGGGCGGTGGCATTTAAGGGTTTGCGGTGGTTGTGTGACGCAACGCAGCAGTTCGACGCCATTTTACTCAGCTCCTGAATCATGCGATTCAGCCATTTCGTTGGACTTGCATACCAAGATATACAGTACCCTGCGCTCTTATCATGAAAGTCTTAATGTGAGGATTTCACGGTTAACACCAGCTTTATAAGTTGACTCGTCGTTAAAGTTTTTAGTCCAAGCCTGTGCCGTCGTTGAAAATGCAGTGTGGATCGAAAACACTTCATGACAGGTTTGTCGAGTTATGTCAGTGTGAGAAAACCAAATACAAGCGTTTTGTTTAAAAAACAAAAGCTTGAAGCGGAACTAGGCTAAAATCACTTTGGCTCACTTACTAGGAGAAAAGGTGAGACCGGATGTTTTCTTTAGGGTTCGGTTGTCTATAAAAATGAGGGCTAGTGTTCGGACTCGTGAAGCCCGAGTATTTTGGACTCACCCAGGTCGGATCCCGGTGTGCCGAAGCTAACGCCGGCTGTCAGCGTCAGGCCGACCGATGTCGACACAAGGAGCAGCTGCAGCAGCCCTGAGGCCCGTAACATCGTCTTAGCCTGTCGGTGGTGCCTTCGAGTGACTTCCCGGAAATGGGTGTCACGCACTTGTAAATAAGTTGCAGTTACTCACAGGGGATGGGAAACACCGAACTCCACCGACAGAAACTAAAATCAGAACTGTATTTATCTCGAAGCCTTGCTAACTCTACATATCTTCATACTGGGGTGACTTTACGAGACCCATTGTTTTTATGTGATCTTCTTTTTTAACGCTGAGATCCGTCGATAGCTATTACGTAATAGAAGCGGTGGCAAACCCACCCCTTAATGTGATCATGCCGTGTTGAATCGATGCAGACCTTTTACCGAGACGTTCAATCAATATATCTGTAACAGTGGCTTCACTCAGCTTCCGTAGTCATGCATACGGCATTCTATTGGTCAATCAATTTCAAACTTCACAGTGATTGTTGTTCAAAAATAAATACATGTAATTATTGTTACTTCTTTAAACACTTAGCTGGCACACGATCACGCGGAAAATTTGTCGAGCCACCTCTTGATACCAATATGTTACGGTTTTGCTCCAAATATTTGACCAGCTTAGAAGTACACTACGTTAATGAACTGCAGTCTTTGCAGTGTGAGGAGGTGCACTAAAACTTTCATGTGACGTTCATTTTTCTCACGAAACGAGTGAAATCGGCGGAACACGTTGATGCATCTTGTTAAAGCAGCATGGTCTTTTTAATGGGGCCATCCAAAAGTGAGACCAGTCTAGACATCTAGGCTCTCCTGCATCGTAGCAACATTTTTATGGCTCGCTTGTAATCTTTTTTCATGGAGGCGTAAATGATAGGGTTAATGGTGCTATTGAAAAACCCAAGCCATCGGCAAGCTACCAACGGCCAGGGATTCACCAAGGCCTGGCGGATTTCCGGATGCATCGCGTAATACAGGGCGACACAGAATGACGGCGTCCAGCAGACGATGTAAGACCCGACCACCACGCCGATCACTGCAAAGGACTTCCTCCTTCGCATCGCCATGACGTTGACAATCTGTTGCCAGTTGCCCCGTTGTACGGATGAGCTTTGCTCCCGACCCGCGTACGCCATCGCCGAAGCAGCGCCGACACCGGTTGGGTTGCGTCGGTGTTCTTGAGACAAGGATGGGCCGGGAATGTTAGCCAGTGCTGCGTCGGTTGCTACACCCGCGGGCCCCCTGGCGGTAGAGCCCCGAATGCTGCATCCGCGTTGGTCAGGGTGAAATTGGTTTGACTCCAGGTTGTCGGCTCGTGCCTCGCGTCGGCTGGGCGTTCTGGCTTGGCCCGGCGCGGGGCCAATTCTGCGCGGGCGGTTGAGTTTCCACGTGATCCGAGCCGTGCACACGTTCACAACCAAGAGAATGAACGTAGGACCCACAAACAAGCACCCATTCAAGACACCATTTCTTGCGAAGATCGCCCCCGAAGGGGAGCAGCGGTCGCCCCGATATGCCAAGTCTGACACGAGGAGCGGTAAAGACACACCGACTACTGCCAGCCACATGCAGAGAATGCCGGCCACAACGACGCGAGGTTTCCGGTACCGCAGGTACCGGACGGGCGCTGCCACCGACAGACAGCGGTCCAAGGAAATCAGGCACAGGCTCAGCCTGCAGGACACGGCTCCGATGGAAATGAAAAACGGCCAGAGACGACACAAGACGCTCCCCAGGGTCCATCCTCCCTGTCTCAGTCCATCGTACACGGTCAGAGGCATGACCAACAGGCAGAGGACGAGATCCGACGCAGCCAAAGAGGTGACAAGGAAGTTGGGCACCGACCGCAGGAACTTGTATCTTAGCAGGGCGTAGCAGCACAAACCGTTACCCACGGATCCCAGCACCGAGAGTGCAGCCACACTCAGGTTGTACCACACAGACTTACCCACTGCCCCGTCCGTTGCTCTGGGCGCTGTTACGTTCACGAAACTTGATGCATCCATGTTGTAATTTGTGCTCCGTCGCCGATAGTGCTCTTTGCTGTACAAACACGACAAATTAATTAAAAGAGCTGTCTAGCTGTCTGAATCCGCCCCTCCCCCCTTTCAGAGACGGGATAGCAGAAGAAGCAACTGGACGCGGAGGGCGTTCTACTTTCCGACTTCAACGAATAGGAAATGAAACCACTTGAATGTGTGTAGGTGTTTCAGTTATGACGTGATGGGTGTGAAAAGTGATCCATTATTATGTCTTAAATATCAGATGTGTATGTTAATGCGTCGCCTTAACTGTGATATATGATATCTCGGTCACTTCATCTCCAGCTCGCATATTGTTTTCTCTTTAATTACAGGAGTGAGAAACACTGGGCAGGGCAGTCGAGTCAGAGGACGGCAGAGGATGAACCTTACTTGTATCCAAGAGGCGCGCGTCCCGATGAAGGGATGCCGCGGGTGCCTGGGAGCAGGGCGTGTTCCAAGCCGCGAGGGCCAGCCCGCCCTCCTTGACAAAGAGGATGGCGTAGAGCTTGGGCAGGTAAACGCAGACCAGCGTCAGGTAGGCGTTGAGCAGGAGCGCCAGACAGAGAGTGGCCACCTTCTGCAGGACCGCCACGGCCGTGGTGTAGACGGGCACGGCGGCCAGGCACAGCACCAGCGTGGAGTAGACACTGACCGCGATGAACTTGGACTCGTTGTAGTTGCTGGGCACCTTGCGGGCCTTGATGGCGTAGTAACAGCAGGCCAGGATCAGCAGCGGGTTGTAAAGTCCGGTGGCGTAGAAGTCTGCACCGAACTGGCAGTAGATCTCTACCTCATTCACGCTGCCAGTAATCACTCTGGATAGCGTCTGCGGCTTGGTGGGGCTGACGCTCATGGACACTGTGGCTATCAGGCCCTGAAAGAAGGGAAGAAAGTCTCAGGTCTGAATTGTATCCAGATTGTGTAGTCAGAGTAATTGCACTGTCAGCCACACATTTCCTAGATCGCAGCAAGACATATCTCGATGGTGTGGGCATGAGACGGTGTGCTTAAATAACACCGCGCCGTGAACACGTAGCGTCGAAGGGGGGGGGGTTGTCGGTTGTTTGTTGACTAAATATGCCATTCATTATGCGCTTACACCTTTAAGCTCCCTCTTCTCCAGTTTCTACCGTGCAGTTTACATGAAATTCACATGCAAATACCTGCCTTAAAGACTTCTCTTTTCCCTTACTTTGTCCTTTTCTTCGCCTGCTTTGATCTTTTTTTTTAATGGGACGGGTAAAGCCTTCCATATCGCATCGATGCCTAATGCTATTACAGCCAGATCAAGTCTAACTCCCATAGCGGCAGTTCGTCATTCCGTGCAAATTCATTGCCTCTTCGTCTTTCCAGAACTCGAATGTAATAACAGGTTTGCAAGTTAAATCGCTGTAGGACTAAGTTGAATGGCCGATTCACGTCTGTGGAAATATGCTAAGAACTACTGCTGAAGTCTGATTTATTATTTTTTTTTTAAATTAAGATGGCTCTCGGGTAAACAGGAATGCTATCGTGGAAATCCTGGCTCGTTTTGCTTCCATCCAACAAGACAATCATAACTGATTGATGGCTGTAATCTTGTAGGCGTATTCCCTTGAAGTATTGCGGTGAAGTCATGCCTAGAAATTACAAGGCACAAGCGAGGGTATATGTTATACGTGTTTGCTTGTCGGCGGCATTTGTTGCTTTGGATCAGGTGTGCAACTGTATTCTAAAAAAAAAAAACCAAAACAGGAAAAGGCGCTTAGGATTTGAATTTATTTCTAAATACTTTTGTACCCACAGTTTAAAACGTGCTTAACCGCGACATGTTTACTGTTATTTGTTTAGGAATGTATTTAATATGCTGAGCGGATTTCAAACAACATTTAGCATTTAAGCCATTCTATGTAACACATTTCAATGAACATGTCATGGGTTAAACGTGTTAAAAGTGGTGCAAAAAGTGTTTAAACCTCTAAACGTTGTTTCTGCTGACGTCATCGAGTGTTGATCTGGTTATACAGGGTCACCCATGCGTTCCGTTCAGAACGATGGTCTTCACCATAGAGCTGTATTCAGTAATTGTAGACGGTCGTAATTCAAAATGTAAACAACAGTCTGTTCTTGGCCTCGCGGACAGTCGTGTTGGTATGATGTGGGAAAGTGGAAAAAATCACTCACTTGTTGCCTATATCCATGAAAAAGGCAATCAAATTCGTTTGTTTAGAGTCTTTACAAAGGATCCCCATAACGCTTGCGTACTTTGCCAACCGATTTTACAATGCGTTGTATTGACCTGCCGCTTGAAGTCGTTACGTGCGAGGTTTTGATTACAAGGACGCTCCCATTGCAAGGTTTGCCAAGATCAGAGCAGTACACAGAGAAGCGCCAACTTCAGACTTCGGAACCCAAATGACTGTTCATTGTGTGTCCAGTACAGCATAGGCCTACAGCTGTTTTTGTGCTAATTTTCATGTGCGCTGACGCATAATCCACCATTTTGGTTCCAACAATTGAGACACTCACGCAGAGTGGTCCACCGATATAAGTTTGAGAAACCCAAAGAGGGCGCGCTCCTTTCTACTCGTAGCTTAGGCCTGCGTCAAACGTCGTGCTTTTGCTGGGTCGAACTCAAATACTTATAGATACTTAGATACTTCAATTAATTCCGGCGGAAGCCCGACATTTGACGCAAACGCTTAACGACCCTGGCGTGCTACACGACAACTTCTGTCTGTCTGGCGTTGCGTCAAATGTCGTGCCATCGTTGTGTCCAATCAAATGAAATTCACACTTCGGCTTCACTTATTTGGAACACGCATGCGTAGCAACATACTTGCGGATGAATATTTCACACAGCCTAAACACATGAGGAGGACTGCAGCGAGTCGCCATCTGATTTTGCGGTTGCTGGAAAAATGAAATTAAAAGTGACATTTTAACACCCCCAAAAGTTTTCTCAAATTATGTTTGTGCACGCTTCCAGGATTGTTGGGAACAAACCTTCATTTTTAATCCACGAAAACTTGCAAATGGGGGAAATTCAATGATGAACTAAAGTTTTTGCCGAAGGAAACAACGGGGCGGAAAGATGAAGGCGCGTCCACAAATTTGTAGAACGGAATTTTGAGACTGAACAACGAAATGGCGAAATCGCCGCATTGGATAGTGAAGTTACAGAACCGAGCAGTGAATCTGCAAAACCGAGTGGTGCACAGTCGAATCTACTATCAATATTGCCTTGGACAGTTAGAGGATGGTAAAGTTGCTGACTGGACAGGTTGATTGAATGGTGAAGTTTCCGAATGTATAATGGCGAAAGTGGCAAATGAAATGGTGAAAATAACTGTAAAGCGCAGTGTTATGATTTACAATGTACATGTATTGCTACCGAAGATGACAACGGCGTTCCATTAAACCATGGAATCAATCTCTCTCTCTCTCTCTCTCTCTCTCTCTCTCCACCCTGCCATCTTCAATTAAATTCGACTATCATTTAATAATTGATACCACTGCTGGCTCTGTCGCGCGTTTGCAGCACTCAAATGAATTACATTCGACGCTCCAGAAGCATGACCTTTGACGCACACCTTAGAGAAACCTGGTTTTGACGATTTTTACATTCAAGATAATACAATTTTGGTTGCATGCCTTGTTTGCTTTCCAAATTTAACACTTACATCATTTCATCAGTATTCAATTTCACGTATCCCCTCTAGGCGCATTCCGTCGTTCCTACTTCTTGTTTTTGAAACAACGAATAAAACAGCGCACTCTCCCCTTTTTGGAAACATTTATAAAATGCAACCCCCAAACCAGAATGCGTTTGCCATAAATCAGTAGAGTGCATTAAATTTTATAGATGAATTATAAACAGCAATATTTTACTGTAGCATCCCAACTATATCTCTCTACCCCAGATTTTTGGATAGGAAATCATCAATCAGGTTTATTCATAAATACACTCTGGGTTAATGAGGTCGATCAACATGGATAACCACCCACTTTCTACACTGACTAAAAGCCCGTCGTTTGTGATCATTTACTCGCTTTGTCATCCGCAAACGTACACTTGTTTATTCATTGTCAGGCTCCGCCAACAGTTTCGTGGATACCAGTCACAATTTTTTTTTGTCGTCTATGTGCCGTATTACAGAGACTATGTGATAGGAATTTTTTTGATCCATTGCGCCTTTGTATTTCAATGAACTGTATTCTCAATTTTTGTTTTGCTGTTTTTGTCTGTTTGGGGGAACCTTTTTGGTTTTATGCAAATAAACTCTGCATATTCATGAGCAAAACCGTGATGTCATCTCAGGCACTGAACGTCAATGTTTCATTGATTTGATTGCAAAAAAATATGTTGATTTGTTTTGGCTATATGTTGCTTTTGTAAATTTCCATTTCTTTGATAATTTACTGTTGAGTAATCTCATGGCCCAGTCGTAAGCAACCTTCTGCAGAAATGATTTCAAAGAGGAAATTTGGGGTTCAAAATTTTAAACATGAAAACATGTCAACTGGAGAGTGTCTTCCCTGGTTTACAACACAACAGCAGTGCCCTCCTTTGTTTTAGTGTTTTAAAGGTGTACTTTTTTCAGTACACTTACCTCAAAAAGATTTTCAAACTGTTTCATACACCGTGGCGTAGATCTGTGCTGGAAATTGGAGGAAGGGTGGGGGTGGGGAAAAGTATATATATACTATATACTGCCATATGCAGTATATAGAGGGCGATCTTCACGATAAAGAAGTACGTCTGTAATATGCGTCACATGCATGCAAAACTATCACCAGTGTGGCATATTATGGCTTGTAAAAATTGTTTTCCTTTTTCAGAAATACTTCAGTCGCTAGGAAATCTAAAAATTCTTCACCATTCGCTTATTTATTTGGCTCATCACAAAACGGGAGGGAGATATTCAATTGTCCATCCCTCCATAAAAGTGAGATGGATATTATATACCCCCGTCCCTCCCCGGGATTTATACCCAAGTTCAGAAATTTAAGTATGAAGATGCGCAAAAAGTGAGCTAAAAGACAAATTTATGGCATGGACGCTTTAATTACGCAGCCGCGCGACATGCAAGCAGACAGACGCAAGATGCCATGGGGCGCGGTCGCTGAAGGCAGTTATCATAACACCGACAATGCAAGGCCAATAATTGGCATGACCGATATATCAGTGTAAACCTCGGTCCTCCGAGGGATAAAGGTTTGGTCACAATTAGGGTTAACCATTAGTGAGGAGAATTGAAATGGTAATGCGTACAATCTCGAGCCGTTAATGAACTGTCCGCAAATATAGTCACGGAGGGATCGCGGTCAGCGAATCGTTTTTGAACTTTGCACTGCGGCTTGCAAGAAGGGGGGGGTCGAAAAGTGAGCAACATTTTTATTGACACGCCCACTTGTTTGTGGGTTCGATTGATGCGAGCCAGCGACTTTGAAGATGTGAATCATGCCCTATCTTGTCCCAGACTAGACGGCTGGGTGACCTTTCCACGAGCAGATTTAGTGTAGCGGGTGGCCACCATATTTTCCCTTCAGAATAATGCCAGTTCTTTACTAATGAAAAGAGGAATGGAAAAAGAGGATTGTGTAAGCTAAATGAAATGACACCTATTCCAAACATTGGAAAAATGGAAATTTCGATCCTGGACAAAATTCCCACTGCTGTTGGTTTGAGCCATAGACCGAAAATAAACCATAAACCGAAAATTAATAAACCGACATTCGTTGGAAACATAACTGTCGCAGTGGCTGATGAAACTTAAACAGTGACTAAAATAACAATGCTGGAGGTGCAGGTGCTAATAATGTTGTTGAATGCGATGATGGTCGTGAAGATAACGACAGTATGGACCTTTATCGTGATGCCGCCATGTTTGTTTTGGCTCCCTGTAGACCCATTTGCGTCAGTAATACAATTTTGCACATTGACAAAAGGGAACAGCATCCATGTGGTTACTTTGGTTGAAATGGTAGAAAGGCAAGATGGCGGCCACATGATAGAGGTCTATAGTGTGGTAAAAGTGGGGGTGTCCGACGCAGTAAGGCATGTGCTGACAGTATCGACATAAGCGGGACTCGAATTGTGAGTTTCCTGCGAGATTGCTTCAATGACGTTCAATGACAATATCTCAGAAACATTGAAACCGGTGAAGAGAAGTTACAGTAGACGGGTTTTGCTTTACAACAGAGGACTAAAAGTGAACAAAGGGTGTTTTACTGTGCTCGGTAGTCAATCTATTGTCCTCGGTTGTAAGCGCCTGCGGTTATTCTACGGGAGAGTGTAATATTGTGGAAACAAAGAGAAAGGCCACGCCTTCTCCTCGGTGGCAAAGTACGGAAGCTACGGAATTCAAAGATAACATATCTTGGTAACATGGATTTCAACGATCATGTAACTCAGATAACCGGAAATCAATGATCATAACGTACATAAATTATTTCTAACGGAGACACGGGTATTCATCCTTCGTGTTATGCAAACGATAAAATCGGAAGGACACAAGATGACTGGTAGTAGGTCTGCACAAGGCTATTTCCAGACCTCATTTTTTCCGGGGGGGGGGTCACACCATTAAGCAGCGTCCTCGGTGCACCGTGAATTTTGCATTGACCGGTGCACCTCGACTTTTGCAATGACCAGTCGCAACCGTCAATGTAAAGCAGCTGCTCAGATCAGACGCACGGTCCCCGTTGCCTTCCCTCCATCCTCCCCCGGGTCTGAAGCGTACTGATATGACACCTTTTAGAAGCTACCGGTACCCTGCAATGGCTAGGCCCCATACACCAGTGTGCCGTCGGCATGTTAATCATTGCATTCCGAGTTTCGGAAAAACATTACCTTTGAATTCCTAGTTTCGGAGATATGTCATCATTCCGAAGTACATTATCGTTGAATTCCATGTTTCCAAGATATGTCACATTTGAAGTTTGCATTTCAGAGATATATTTTCATTGATTTTAGTGTTTCCACAAAGAGTTACTGTTGTATTCCTTGTTTCGGGGATAATTTATCCAGTGTCTGTTTCTCTGTTTCATCGATAAATCAATTAACACAGTAACGCGGAAACATGGATGGTCATTTAAGCTTCCGTAGTTAAGAAAAACACGACTATGTTGTGGTTGATGAGAAATGTTATAGCGAAGACACAGCAGGTGGGTGTGTCTAAAAGGAGAGAAGTAAGGAGGTTTGGGGAAAGATTGTGTCTTCTTACCTGGATGAGCACAATTATGGTGACCATTACTATCTGAGCTTTCGGTGAGACGAACCGTGGCCGCTTGACGGACCGCTGGCCCGCCTTGAAAATCCGGTATATTCGGACCACCTTCAGCAGAGTTGTGGAGAAGTTGAGGGTCAGGCTGAACGCGAACCCGACCTCTGCGGCGATGCAGGCGGCGGGGCCCGGCGGAAGGAGCGCCAGGCCGCCCGTCACGAAGGCCAAGGTCAGCCCCAAGACGTTGACACCGCTCAGCTCGCGGCTGGAGGCCTTGACCAGGGCGTGACACCGGAAGGCCACACCCAGAGCCGTGGTAAGACAGCAGAGGGCCGCGCCCAGGCCCGACAGGGCCAGCAGCAGAATGACCACGTGGTGGCTGTAGTCTAGAGGTGTCGGGGCGATTGGACGGCATCGGGTGCGGGACGAGTCAGGCCATTCGGTTGGCCCACACCTCACGCAGCGACTGCCGTTCACGATGGTGCTCTTCCGACACGACTGGCATCCATTACAGCACCTTCCCATCGGTACTGGATACGAACCGGCCCGGCAGTCCTCTCGACAGCTGGACCGAGGAATCTCCTTGCTTCCGTTCTGCCAGCGCATCTGGGTTTCGTTCAGGAGAAGCACGTGCGTTGGCGAGCTCCACCGTCCAACCTCCACCATGCTGTACTTGCCGTCGACTTCATAAAAATTATAAATCGTGTACGCTCCTCCGCCGTCTCCGTAGTCATTGAAGGAAAAATTTCCCCCAGGGGCCGGAAAGGTTACATTCTTCAGGTGGGACAGCAAACGGCTTCTGGTGATACCCTCCTTAGAAATGCAGTCAGGGGTACCGGCGCAATCTTCCTGGATGTAAGCGTGCAAGGCCTGGGCAAGGGCCCTGACAGCATTCACGGTGGGCGTTTCTGCGCCTCGTTTTTCCGCTCTCTGGAAGAGTTTCCGAATCTTGGTACAGTTCGTGTAGTCCTGATGTATACAGAGTGCCTCCTGCAACCATTCGCTGAGATCGTCCCATGGTTTCTCGGAGACAGACGTGACGTATCTATCGAACTCAGGCACCGGTTCCTGGGTGGCTTTAAGAATGATTCCCCCGCTGATGACATCCCCGAGGTCTTTCTTGTTCAGTACATTTTCCCATACCTTAGCTGTAAGCCAGATGTAGCGATGAGTCAAGCCCGACTCCTTAAACGTCTGTAAGACAGTCAGGGCGTCGGTGCGACTCAAGAAGGTCACGATGACGGTGGCTTTGTCACTCGCCAATATCTTGGCTACTATGTCGTCGTGGTGCTCTTTGGACATGGAGAACCGCACGTGCGAGGACATCGCCAGGCATACGTTTCGTTTGCCGGCCATGGCTTCGAACTGCATGGCACCGTGAAGGCCATCGCTGTCAGTGGAGTAGAGTAATGCGACGTAGTCCCAACCAAAGTGCTCCAGAATGTCTAGGATGGCCTCCACTCGCAGCCTGTCCGGCGTGGAGGTCATCAGGAAGTTGGCGTACATCTCCCGGTCGCTGAACTCGTCGCTGTGCGCTCCGTAGGACACCACCGGCACATCAAACAGTTGACCGAGCCGGCTGGCCTGAATGCTGGTCTGGCTGAAGCCGGTACCCACCAGGCCGACCAGTTGGCTGACACGGGGCGCGTTCATTGAGCAGAGACCCTTGAAGGCGCCGGGGCTGCCCGGACTGACCAAGGTCAGTCCTTGCCAGAGGGAGAGTTCGTCAGAGTAGCAGTCGTCCCTCAGGTCGAATCCCAGGGTGACGTTGGGCAACAGGTCGCGCCGGCTGTTGATCTCCTCCACGGCAAACTCCATGGCTAGTGCTGTCCTGATCAGCGCGTTGGAACGAACCTTGTTAGAGCACAGTCCCTGCACTTTGGCAGCGGTTATTGTGAGCAGCCCACCCAGTACTCACATCCCCGGGCTTGGTGAAGGAATAGCAAGCCCGATTCACTTGAGAATGATTTGTACTCAATGCAGCCGTCTTGACCAAAAAGACCAATGCTGCCAGGAAAACTGCCTTCATGGTTTAACCCAGTAATGCGGACAGGCTGTCGAGATATTAAGCAAGCACTTTTACGCAGAATACAGCAGTGCGCTCCGCTAGCTTGTATCGTTCTTCAGAAATTATTTCCACGTCCCTGCCTCTTTGTTTGGTTAAAAATTCAGTAGGCCTACAGCACTGACTATAAAAAGGCCAAAACTGCTGAGACGTCTGAGCCTAACACCAAATTGTCTACCCTTTTCCCTCCTACCCAATAATCGGCTTCAAACTTGCAGCCTTTCAACGGTGCATCTCTGACACGTCTAAGGGTCGTTCCAGTTCTTGATCCAGTGGTGTACATGGATACCCAGATTCTTGTAGTAACAATTATCTCTGAGCAGTGCGGAGATTTCAAATATCCCCTTGTGGATCTATGAACGCCGTGTTCAACAAACCAGTCAACTGTCGAGGATTCGAACTCAGAGCTTTCACCCGTGAGTATTTGTGAGTCAAGTGTACGATGGATATTCGTAGTCTGCGACAGATATTGGGCTGGAGTTGATTTCCTCATGCACGCATGCGTGGGTTGACAAAATGATGGGTGAGGTTGAAGCGTTGTGGGCGAATTGGACCGTCGTCAACCACTACGTCGAGTCGCCGTTGCACAAAGACCGCCACCGCTCGATCTGCCGAGGCAAAGCAAACTCCCATAGGCAGTGTGAGCAGTTAACGTAAACCAATTTAATTCCGCCGATGACCAGATGAATATTTAATCGCAGGGCCGGCTTTGAAATGACACTGTTTTTACAAACTGCAACCCGAAGACTATCATACGATGTCAGCGCAGATGCTGCAACGTGGTTTTGGTCGAACGATCAAGAATAATGCAACAGGTAATTAGGCAACTAAGGAGTCGGGAACACGCAGAATTAATACCGGTACCAAACCGTAGCTCCTACATTAATTTTTGCTTCGACCTCATTTTGTGGCAAACTTTAAATGGCACAACTGTTAAACATGAATGGTTCTAATAATGAAAAAGAGTTTGAGACGATTATTTTGCGTTGCATTCGTTTTGATCCTAAGCTGCATGAGTTCCTGAGTTTAAGGGTGCTGACTTTAAGGATTTGGAGACAAATGACCTTCCCTTTATACTGGACGTCAGTGGGATCTCCCAAACCGAATTTTGATTTCAGGTTTTTCGTTTGTTTCTGCGTGTCACAGCTTAATGCCAATTGATACAGTGAACTGTCGTATAAAACAAGTGCCATTTCCACTTTGTTTTAATTCCATATTACGCCTGAATACCTCATTAAAAGAAAGGCCACACTCCACCATTTTGGCCTAGGCGAGTTAATTGATTTCCTTTGCAACTCCTTAAAAAATATAAAGTTTTTCTTTGAACAAACAATAAAGGTTTTGTTGGAGTTGGCCCATTCTTTTCAATTAGATATTTAATTTTCTGAATATATCACATTATAAAGCAAAGCTTGATGCACACGAGAAAAAATGATTACAAGCGCCTATAGACATCTGGGTCGCTTTATTGTGCAAGTTATTGTCTTTTTTCACCGCTAAAATGAACATTACAAAAAATATCATCCCTAATAAAATTACCCAAATGTATCTCTCAATGCACTGTCAATCTATAGTACATTATACTGTGACTAGTTCCCTGTTAATTATGCTTTATCATGATTTTGTGTTGTAACTTGTGTGGATGCCATTTTTTTAACCAAATAAGTCACAGACCATCAGTCATTTCATTGCCTTTAATGAAGGTAGTTTCCGAACGCGGTGTTTTTAATTTGATGACAAAGGACGGTTTCGAGGACGAATTATAATTTGAAAAGAATCAGTGAGTGGTTGGAGAGGAAACCCCAACAGAGAACAGGTTTAATCAAATTACATATCTGATGTTATAACTGCAGTCTCTTGGAATCGTACCCCATCCCCATGGAAACTGGTACATAAATAATGTTCTCAGAATGTTGCCGCGCAAATTACGGCGTAAATAGGAGGATCCGGGGCGAAAGTGAACATGCCGGCATCGGGGTTTTGTCGGGTACCAGTGCAGTGGTCGTGTACTCGATGTCTGATAGACTTGTAGTACGTGAAAGCTCAAGACAACACTTGGTCAAGTCAAAGAGGCTAGTGTCTATCTTTTGAAAAATGCACAGGCAAAGAACCACCCAGTTTTCTTTGATCTTACTGCATCCCCTTCAGTTCTGAACTTGGAAGCCAGAAAATGTCACAATTTGTTGGTCTGTTCTATTCAGAAAGAAAAAAAACAAAGATCACTTGTTGGCTTTACGTTTCTTGAAAAAAAAAAGGTTTCCAAAGTTGCATCTTGGCAGTTCAATCGATGCTCCTGGTGGTCACAATGAGAGACTACTCATAAATGAGCTGCAGAGGGCGCTTTGGCCCCCTTGTAGAAACTGCACGCAGTGGGTTATATTCCCTCGGAAATTGCTTCACGCATAGGAATATAGAAACATCCAAAGTATAATTTCAACATCCAGGGAACATTTGAGAGAAAGAAGAGTTTTTCATATTTTAAATTTAAAACTGAAATCGGTAGAATTTCACAGTGATTGTTAAAATGACAATTAAGAGTGCTCTGTTGAAGACGATTCATAAAACGAACTGCTGGTAAAAAACGCCATGAGTAGAAGTAGCCTTCATCGGTTGAAAAGAGCCATGCTGGTCGGGACCGCTTGTTTTGTTGGTAGCGATGCGCACTCAACGCATGCATCTCGAAGTCGTTCGTGAACCAGCACATTGAAGTTCCTACCAAGGAGCCTCCGTTGCTAGGAAAATCGCGCCACCTATTGGTCCAGCTCGGGGCTGGTAGGTCTACCAATATTACTCCTTTATTAACAGGGCGCCCTATTTGACTTTCCAACTCTCTATGCTCACGAAGCATTCTTATCCAGCAGACAGACATCCTACCTTTAAATGTGGGCGATAGTGCCCGTTCGAAAGGTTGACATATTTCGCGCACTGTGATTGTTCAACGCGTTGCAAACTCTTCGAGGCTCACTATTGTGAATCGCCTGTATTATCTTTAATGACCAGGTAAAATTCTATGTTGTTTCTTTTACGTTAGATCATTCTCCTGAGCCCGAAATCGATTGAGAAAATACATGAACTACTAATTTTGATTCGATGTCGGAGGTATTAATTCTTGGTGGAGTGCAATATTCATTCACTGGCTTTCTGAAGTGCGCCCTCACTTTGTTGGACGGAAGTCGCGGCCCTGTCGTGAAGCAAACTCGGTTCCTCGGATGTCAAAAAATGGTGTATTTGAAAATATGACCCTGTACTTATTACTCGGGGTTCGATGTAATTTTCTGAATAAGGCTAGCTGTTTCTGATCCTTTCATACAAGGCTCAAATTCGAAAGTTGCCCTCTGTAAACATCAACTGATTGCAGGACGGATGACCGTGTTTTTGATGGTTACAAATGATTCATGTCAGAATGTGGTAGACTGTGGTGGATTCATTTCAGTCCTCGGGGCACTTGGCGCTGTTTATCTATTTAATGTAACTCTATGATCCCCTCCCCGCACATTTCACTTGTCTGCCGCGAGTCCAAAAGCGATCCTTGCTCTCCATGGCTCCACTGTGCCGATAATCGTCTAATGTATCCTCCGTTTGTCTGTCACATCTTCCCCCAACTCGGGACGGCGCAGGCCGGTTGGGCGTCTTCCAGATTCCGCGCTTGGGCCGACACCGTATATCCGTTTGCCAACTGGCGTCAGGGATCTGGACGCTTCGCACGGGGAACAATGCCAAGCTGCTACGCGCCGTGGCCCCATCGTGTCGTGACAGGCATTCTTCGCCAGACAGTTCAAATACGGGCTCCTTTCACTTGCGGTGCCGAGCCGATCTTTCAGGCTCAGTAAAGTGGGTCGGACCATGGAGGAAGGAACACACAAAAGTTGCTCCCAATGCCAGAAATGTTAAGCCAAGCTTCACTCCAACGGCGTTCATGGGTACCTGAATAGACTTCAAACATCAAGTCAATATTAGCTTGCTTGGAGTGTGGGGGATGTGGTGTACCACGTTGGGAGCGCCGGGTAGGATCCATTGTCATTTCATACGATATCATCCCCTCCTACAAGAAAGCAGCCTGTCAACTCTTGTCAGCTTCAAACTTTCACACGGTGGTCAAACTTCCATGCTCAGAATTCGATGAGGACTTTTTGAAATGGTTTTCTGATGGTGCACTGGTTAAGTTTTCCATTAACCCAATACACGTCTGCATCAACCAAACGCAGACGTTCAATGTCACTGAATTAAGGTTTGGCAAGCCCCGTCAGCGACCCATTGTACCTTTGTAAACTACATCATGGAAAACCGATTTGTACTGCTTTTTCAGTTTTAAATCCATTGTAGTAATAATGTAAGGGCACAGATTATGATTATGATACGTTCCCTAAGATTTATAGAGTGCCGATATAGACGCATTTCAGCAATGATGCAAGTCGATGACCTTCACATCTTTATGTTATCCCTGCTTAGGGGACATTCTCAAATCCCAATCAGCGCACTGTGGGAAGATTGATACACGATTGATCGAACCGTCTAAGGTGGGAGACGTCTAAACTAATTCAATTACCATCTCTGCCCTCACAGATGTCCGTATGTACTCAGAGAACAAGGCAAGCATATGTAAAGTGACTTAGCCAATGTCACATCATGTTTGTAACAACAGCTGAATTCGAACCCCCGCCCCCACGATGGGGGGGGGGCCTAAAACCATAACCGCTATGGGCACGGGCACCGCAACACGCCTTGTTGCGGTGGGTTGTGGTATACGTGTTTCGTAAATATAATCTATCAAAAACAACTCAATCACTGAATAAGGAGGACTGTTGGCGAGGTTTGTCCCCAGTGTGCACATTTTGAGGTCTGTGCACCGCCTCGTTCTCACTGGAAATCCCGACCTCACCTGGCAAACACGGTGAGGGACAGCATCATTAGACTTTGCCTGAAGTTTTGCTTCGTGCACCTCGGTCCCCCCATTCCCGTCCCTGATGTGACCCCCCGCAGCCAACATCCCCGCGTTTTCTCGTCTTTACCAATTCGTCCAATTTTCCTCAGTTTTAATACCAATTTAATCTGGCTCTTTTTGCTTTAAGTTCCTCCCGTAAGGTATATTGAAAACGTCTAGAGCCCCTTCCCGCTATTACAAAAACGAATGAGCTTTGTTTTCTGAATTCCAAGCGCCTTCCGTTGGAGACTGAACCCTTTATATTGTATTAGAAGCCCGTGCCAGCTTGGCACCGACTGCCGAAAAGCTATACTCATGATCCGCTATCCGTTTGCTGTCAAAATATTTACGGACAAATTGAGCAGGTAACATGAGGTTAACTCGTGGCATTGTAGAATGGCACATGACAGTGATGGCACATGACAGTGACAGATGACACATGGCAGAGGCAGTGCGGTATTAGATGTTAATTTCATTATTTGAGGATAATTTTGTCAGTTATGAATTACAAAAACATTTAAATTGGCGTATTGCAAAAAGCAACTTAAAACCGGCAGTGCGTAATTATATAATGTGCCTGAGAATATCATTTTTTATAATTTGAAGTTTGCAGTCGACACTTTTGAAAATAAGTAACCATACATTGGAATGCTAAAAGAAGGGCCCGTTACGTTTTAGGAAATTCATACTGCCATTCAGGCGTTCAAATAAGATAGGGCCTATTCTCACAGAGATTTGATCAGCAGAAAAGCGTACAGTTGGTTTTAAATTCATAATGCGGTTTCATTTTTTTTTTCAACTGTGGTAAAAGTGGTCCTCGTAATCTCCCCCGTCCCATTGTGATAATCCATTGAGTGACGTCCCACGGTGACTTAGGGGGCGGTTTATTGGGTTCTCGATGCCTGAAAAACCGTGTGCGTGACCGGCGCGTCAGATCCCTGCTCATGTGCGGTGGGCACGGGGCTTTGTGTACACAGCCTGGTGGGACGTCATCGTCACCCGCTACGCGTACGCGGTCACTCGTTAAAACTCGTCCCCGGTACCGTTCACTCGTAGTGTAGTGCTCAGTGGTGCAGTGGCGTCTCGGACGGAGGACTCTTGCGCACTACGTACTGGCGTGTGCTGTGCTTTTTTATCGAGGATTATAATATCAAGTTATAATTGCGTTGTCGGTTGACAGGATTCGGACGGTTTGTTTTTATGCTTGGAGGACCGTTTTTTTTGTCTTCAGCGCCGGCATGGATGCTGTCAAAAGTTGAAGGCAGAGGAGCATTGTCACCGGGGAGTTGGGCTTGTTTCGTTTTGGAGAGGCAGAGTGGATAGGAGAAAAGTTTGAGCAGGGGAGAGCGCTTAACTTGACATCGTTATTGGTTCGTCACACCAGTCACAGGGAGCAGGGATATATTTCGCGGAGCTCCCGTGGGGTCATGCAGGCAGTCCAAGTGCCTCAGTAGCTCCTTCGTAAACTTGGAATACTCTAATCCCTGGACCGTTTGCCGTACGTGCCGCTTGAAAGGAAGGCTCCTATAATTCTACAGTTTCGGCAGGAAAGAAAAGTTTTGCATCTTGTTCTCCCCCTCTACACATTAATACCCAGAGGCAATATATATAACCGACGTGCACTTCTGTTTGCTGCGGTTAAGGAGGGAAAAGTAGGAGATTAATCAATTTCTGCTGGCTGTAGAATAGTATTTTTGTTTTGTTTTGTTTTGTTGTTCGCTGTCTTTCGGATGACCCGTGCCATGGATCTATCCAGGATGAAATACTTGATTGCCGGACTCTGTGTGCTGGGGCTAGCGGTGGATATAAGCGAGGGGGGCAGGCGGGCCCGGGACTGCCCGCCGGAGTGCAGCTGCTACCGGCGGACCGTGGACTGCATCAAGCGGGGATTACAGTACATACCTGTCAACATACCCGTCAACACAGAGCGATTGTGAGTATGATATACACTGGACAGCAAAAGAAACTTGCCACTTCTGTCAAAGGCCACACATAAAAATTCACTCCATAGAAATAAACAATTTTTTGTACACAGGTATGCTGCAATACCCCTTACTAATCACATGCCCCAAAGCAAGTGATTATCTTTATGACAAAGAAGAAATTGACATGCACAGCAACTTGGTTTAATACTGAATCAAAAGTCACACACAAAAGCACTCTCCAATGACAAGTGAACACCTGTTTTGTCAAAATGATGTGCATGAGTGGTTTCCGTATCGGGATGCCATCGTTACTGACTATGCATACGCATTATTGAAAAGTAATTATTGTGACTTCTTTATTTCGTCCTGTGACGTTGATTTCTGCGTAAAACTTAAGGCTCATTCTGTTACATTCTGTGACTTTTGATTCAGTAGCCAAGTTGCTGTGCATGCCAATTTCTTCTTTGTTGTGAAGATAATCACTTGCTTTTGGGCATGTGATTGGTGAGGGGTGTTGCAGCATACCTGTGTACAAAAATTGTTTATTTCTATGGAGTGAAGTTTTATGTTTGGCCTTTGACAGAAGTGGCAAGTTTCTTTTGCTTTCCAGTGTAGAAATTTCGGCCTCGTCAGAGCTGTAAACAAATACACTATTTGTTTCTTTATTTTCATAATATAGCTTCGGGGATTTGATATGGTTGTGGATTGGGGGTACATTTTTAGCGACTTTTAAGCTGACTCCACTCAGTTTGCTGCAGCTTTAAAATTTGGACGTCGTTGACATGGACACGGGACCAGTCTTTACGATGGTACACTTCACCACTCAAAACGTATAACCGCAGACTTTGCCGGTGCTTTTTTTTTAAATTAAACTGTGCGCTTTTTTTACAGTGAGGGTCGTAAACCGAAGTGAGAAAGGAACCTCTAGTCACAATTTACCCTCCAATTGATGAAAAGACGATCTGTTATTGCACTTCTAAATCTTCGACGGACGTTTTTATGAGCTTTACGCCATTTGAATTTAAAAACAGTGCGTGTAAAAAAAAAACACCCGACCTATTTTTAACTACTAGGTTGTAAAGTTCCTTTCCCAGCTGTTCAATTGCTGGGTGGGCCTCCAAGCTCAAGGACACGATCTTTAATTACATACACCGTCCTCCTCGTCCCAAAAGATTGTTCATCTTGGCGAAAGTCTATAGGAATTACCTTCAAAATTTTCGCGAGCAAACCAGTCAAGGTCACCAAATTTAGAATTTTGCGCGTGCATGGTGTTACACCAATCCAAAGCGACCCACTGCATGCACTGAAGAGTTGTACACGGAGGGCAAGGATTCTGGGTCAGGCCAAGTTCATCGCAGCGTAAGGTGGTATTAAACGCAATGCTGCCTCGGTACGCGGCCATTTTCGAGTTGCAGTCTGGCAGGCAGGTTGCAGCATTTTGGGGCCAAAAGCCACGACAAAGAGAATACTGAGTTGAAATTCGAATAAGAACAGGCGAGGCGTGGACTATTTGAGTGCGGACATTAACACGATAACGGATTTCTCGTCCGCTGAATATCGGCAAGTCCGTCCAAAAACTAAAGATCGATAATTAGCAGGCCTGAATGGATAAAACTCAAAGTTCAGATAATCCAGAGAATGAAAACTGTTTGTTTTCCATTCAATGAAATGTCATTTATCGCCACATTAGCTTATTTCATCTTTATTGTACCCATAAGTAAACGGTGACACTTCTTTGTCCAACTAAAGCGCTATTTCCTGGGCCTCTTTTTTGTTCTCTCGCATACCTAATCAAACATTAACTAGATTTTGCCTTTCTTTAACTTTAAGGGACATACGCCGCCAAGGACTACCGATTTTTTTCTCTCAGGAGTAGTACAAGCATTCCGTGGAGCGAGTGCTGCCGTTGTAAACCGGCCACCCGTGCTTGGCTTTTATTTGAAAAGGGAGTCGAGTCTGTCGGCCTTGGTGGGCCAACATTCCACATCGATTGGAGGGGTCATTGCAGCGGATCCCCCGTCCCACCAACCGATCAGGACCGCCGGATTTTGCTGCAGACACGGGTGTCGCTTCGCGTACAGCCCTAGGCTCAAAAGGACCGCATCGGGCGATCGATTTCTTCCATTTGTTTAGGCCTGAGTTGATGACTGTCGAAGTTCCATCAACCTTTGAAAAAAAAATGCCTTGGGATGATGAGATCGAATTAATGACTTCCAAAATGACGACAGTGATGAGACAGTGCCACCGGCAAAATATCGGCTACCTCTTACCTCACATTTCGTCTAAAGCCTAACCCCCTGTGCTTTCGCGTTGTGTGATTTAGGCTGTCACTGGCCCATACCATTAATTTCGTGATTGTAGGAGCGTAGGGTGCGATATTCCTGTTTTTCTTTATAGTCAACTCACCTTCTTGCTGGATTTTTCGTCCAAATGAACATATTTCTAATCACAGTAACAGCAATTTTACCACGGAGCTAATTTCACAAAAAAAGTTTCGTTATCATGCATTGATCATCTTACCGACCACGCCCTCAAACAGCTGCGTCATTGGGGGCAGTTTTGCAAAATGAAAGGTGAATGCCCTCTCAAAAGACCGATGTCACGTGTGGATGTCGATGTAAGGCGAGTGGATTGTCATGGTACCCGGCATAATTTTGCAAGAAACATATGCAAGTCACGAGATTGGATACCAGTGTAGTGATATTACATGTCGTTCTGGTACTTTAATCCACAAAAAAGTTGGAAATTTTCAGTTAAAACCAATAATGGGCGGCTATTTGGAATGTGGAAATCAAGTGGCAGCTATTGGTCGTGCTTTTAAGGGCTCAGGAAACATTTTTTGCGGCCGCAGTAATGGTAAGATTTCGTGCATTGTAGGCCTTCATAGGCTAAATTGACAGTTACATGTACATGACATCACTTTGTTTGAAGATACGGGTGGTACGAATGCCTGGAGCAAACGAACGTAACCACAAATTTTAACAATACAGGCTCTGGTGAGATTCGATGAAATTCTCGAATGTATACACACAGCAACACAGTCTTATGGCATTTTTTTTCATCATGTAAGTTGCGTCAATTGAAGTGGAATGTCATGCTGGCATTTTGTTTTGTGTTCTAAGGACTCGAGCGTTCATTGAGACCTTGGCAGTGAAATTTTTATGGTGCAGTATGCTGGGAAGCTGGATCATTAACCCCCCCATTTTTAGGAGGAGCTCATGAAGAGGGTGGAGCGTTTAAGGGAAAAGGAAGTGAATATGTGTGTGGTGCTGACAGACATTACGCTGCGCTAGAGCCAACCTCTGGAAGATGCCGCGGCTACAAAAAAGAAAATCTAGTTGTGCCAAATTTGGGAGCACTGATGTGATGGGCACCGTTTTTTTGGGCATCTTTTTTGAAATGATTCTAACTTTGCAGCTCATGGTTGGAAGGCTTTGCTCCCTTGTAGTGAATGGGGGCTTTTTTGGGGGGGGGGGGCTTTAGTTTGTTTTGTTCCCCATTTTGTTTTTCTTGTTGGTCCCTTTTTGCACACCAGAGTGCATTTCTCAGACTTGTTTTGGAAAAATGTAGGCCTATCAGGTATTAACAGGGGCCTCTGTAGCGGACGGGGGGGTGGTATTCCCACTGCCTCCCCTGGATTACTGGGGCTTTGTGGTGGTCAGCTTTGGCCCAAAATAGAAGTCCCCGGATGGACAGATGGCAACGTTGGTCTGAGACTTTAAGCTTTGGGGTGTCCATGTTTGTCAGCTTGGCCCTCAGTGTGGTGTCACTTTCCTCACAAATTTGGCAGTGGGTTAACCAAAGCTGTACAGCGAATGATTTTGTGCATCGTCCACACTGGAGTCCTTAGCGTTTTTTTTTTACTTTACACAAAATGCAGAGAGAATTTTGATGGACACCTTCTGCAAATACTGTTTCTCTTCTCATTACTAACTGATAGTTGAGGTGATTGATTGTATTCACATTGTTGGCATCATCGTCTTTCTTCCGCAGAAATCTTGATGGGAATAACATCACAAAGATCCGCAAGGGAGATTTTGACAATCTGCGGAGATTACGAGTCTTGTAAGTGGCCTTCCTCATTGCAAATACCCGAAATAATTGAACAGTTTGCCAAAATTCCAAACCTTCGAGTTACCAAAGTAAGAGCATTGCTGGTTGATGTCATTGAGATTATGTTCATTTTGGTCACTTCATAGGCCGAAAAACATTAGCTGTCCCTCGTTCATTCCAACATAGGTTGGTCTTCAGCTGGAATTATTTTTAAGTAATCTCTGAGCTGTAGAAGCTGTTCATTTTGGGTCTGCTCTGTCAAAGAGCAATTATTCATTCACTGCATGTACTCGCTCATGTTCCCAGAAATGATTCTATATCATTTAACAAAAACATTTGACACAGTGTGCCAACATCAGCATCGGCTTTGTTGGTCCTGTTGGAATACTTTATTTTGACGTTTAAGAATTTCTAATTCTGTGGTTAGTTGATGAAGGCTTTCTTTATTTTCCTTTGACTATATAATGTGGAATCTACAGACAGCTGAGCAACAATCAGATTGTCAGCATCGAGCGTGGAGCCTTCTCAGACCTGAGATCAGTGGAGCGAATGTAAGTAAACAGATGGGCCGTCAATGCGAGCCTGCCTTTGAAATTGTCAAGCGGGAGCCCTCCCTTTGTCAAGCTGTGAAGCGGGTGTCCTGTTGAGATTGTTCAAATAGAAGTAAATCTCTCCATGTTGTGTCGTTGCCCCTATCTGAAAGATTCACCAGAGAAAAAAATGAGCCTTTTGTGTTCGAAGGACAGGTTCTTTTGTACTCCACAATTGTTTGAAGTGTTCCGGACAATCAAAACATTCCCGATTACAAGCTGTCCGTGCATTGTGCTCCAGGGGGTCAGTATGTAGAGTGGCAGATCTCAAGATTAGGTGGTACGGTACGTAAAGTTTGAGCGTACACTGTCATCCTGGCTTTCTGTGCAGCATCTGCTTGGCGAGTTTGCGATACCACAGGGGAATTACATTCTTGCCAGGGTATTATGAGGTGTAAGCTGTATACACAGGTGGGGGCCCCTGACAATCGGCCGTAAAATGGCCATCAACTCCACTTGAAAGGCTGTTATTGTTTGTGGTCGGCCAAGGAGCAAATTGCTCCAACAAGCGGATAGCATGCTCTGGCTTCTCCTTCCTTGTGAGTTTTGTCTGCCAAGCGAAAATCTCTTGGAAGAAAAAAAACATTAAAGGCTGGAGTGGGAGGAGAGAAAAAAAAACAGGGGGGCGATCTGCTCTGTAATTGACTGTGTAATCGATTAAAATACGGCTGACTTGGGCAGGAGCGAATGGCTTTTGTTGCAGGTTCTTTTCACCGGCGACCCTTTCAGAAACCTTCTAGTTCAACGTCCAGGTGATTGGTCTATCAGATCACCTTATTATGTTAAGATTCCGCTTCGTTTGCCCGATGCATTCAAATACATGGGCACACGCAAGTGCACATAGATATTAAAAAAAACCCAGCCTTGGATCAGTTCAGGCATGGCTGGCCATCAAAGCTAACTTCATTCAGGTTGCCGAGACCCCCGAGGATTGAATGGGGGCTTGCATATCTCAGCGATTATTTTCTGGAAATCATTTTTTTTGGGCAGCTGCTCAGTCGAATGGAATTCAATTTTCCTTTGTCAGTCCTGTAATGGTTACAAGGGGTGCTGCGAAGGGTTTTCCAGCCAAGGAAAAAAAAAAGTTACTGTTTGATTTTTTTTATTGGCCATACGGTAAGCAGGAGCCCTATGTTGGATCACTTGTTTTCTTTTCTCGGGCCCGTATTGGAACATTTCTCACCGCTGGTGTATTGTAAGAATCTGTCAATCATGTGCCGACTGTTATGATTGAAAAAAATTACCTGCACATTGCATGTAGTTAGGAGCCAAAGGATTTTCTGTTACACATTACTATTGTTACATGTACATGTATGCCACGAAAGAGAGCCACGTTACGAAATTGCAGTCGCATTGTGAGAACTTACCAAAGCGGGAACACCTCCCACAAAGGATTCGAAGAAAGAAACTGTACAGGGTGCAGACCGGCGGCAGATTCTCTGGAGAGGAAAATGGAAAGTCAAACAACTTTGTGGTTTGGGCGAATAAATTGTGCTAAGTACAACTTTATAGATGGCATGGATTCTTTTACATTGAGAAACTTAGATACACCAGCGCGTGAGTGTGTGCCGAGCAGTTGAACATGTGACTTGTGCTGTGTCTTGTACTGTTCGACTGTTGTGAGATGCATGCACTCTGACTACGTCACGCCTTATAAAAAGATACTGGAGGAGCTCTGAGGATTGTAATATTTTTATGCAAGTCATTGTTGGCTGGACCACTTCCTCTGCGATACTGTACAGTGTGTATGTTGTGACCTGAGCGTTCCATCGTTCAGATGAGTTTGCACATGGAATTCAGTGTGTATGTTGTTGCAAAAATGTATGCGAGTTTCCAAGCCTTAATTTGCCCCTCAAAAAGTCACTGGAGATTTCAACAGTATCAATGTAGATGCACCCTGCTTGTTTGGACTTTCCATTGTGAAACTTTCAGCCCTTTGAAGGGATTCGTCAAAGAAGACCCTTAAGAGCCCCCTCCCTTCCCCCCACTAGCATTGTCCAGTCCCATCAAGTCAGATCACATCAGAATACTCAGTCTGAATCCGAGGTTTTTGTCCCTGAAAAGGGCCCAATGTTCCCCACTCCAATTTTCGGCACCCTGTCATGTCCCTTGCACCTTTTTGTTCCCCCCCCCTCCTCACCCTCTTATCTCCCAAGAGGACTCCACAAATTCCCAGGCCTCTCATTCCAAAGCATTAGAAGGGGATCATTGACACTCCTATGTCATCTGGTTCCACCACTTCCAGATGCACACTTTTGGGGTTGCACTCAAGGCAGTGGGGGCCAGACTAGCTGGTACCTAAGAAGGTAAACAGCCTTGGGGGGCAGGGAGCCTACCTAACTTGGCAGAGGGGTTAGTATTAATTAAATAGCCCAGGGTAAATCAACAGGGTAGGTGCGACCATATCATTAACCCTGGTGTGAACTGGCTGGCAGCAGGTCACTTGTTGGGCCACTTCAGAAGAAAAGGTGTCCTCTGTTTGTTTTGGTTGAGAAACACACAGGTACATAGAGATACAAGTACACATGTTATGTGTGTTTGTCATGGGTCAGCCATAGGTCCCGGACCGTACAGTAGGATCAGCCAGTCTGCTTGAGATATTCTTTTTGTGATGGTCAGTGTCCAACTTTCCCAAAGGTTTCAAAGCTTTACAATTGTTGAATCTTGTCGGTTTTTATCATGTTTTTTATGATATGCCAAGAGGATGAATGGCTTGACCAAGTGAGGAAAGTTTCAAGAAGTCTCTCTGTGTAGCCTGCAGGCCAGAGTGGATGTCCTGACCACCTACACGTACTCTCAATTCGAGTTCCAGCATTGTGCTGGTCAGTACCGCGTCCAAGTTGTTGTGAAGCTCGATTGCTCGTAAACGTTTGTACAGTGTTAATTGGAACTTTGTTAACGGGTCCCCTCACCAAAGTCTGCAACCAACTTTGCACACGCGAGACTTCCTGGGAGACTAGAGTCAGTATCTTAGGCATCAGACACCCTAGAATTTCCTTTGTGGTACCGGGTATGTAGAATATGGATACCAGTAGCATATTGCCTGCTCCTGGTACTCATATGGGCAGACCGAGTTTGTAGAAATACCGTACACTGTATCACCATTGGTTGATGTTTGATTCGACCTCCAATGTATATTTATGGGTAATTCCAGAAATTAGGGGTCCATTTTATTGGTGTCCCTGTCACATCTAACATATCCTTTTGTAAGTTCAGAACACATTTTCTAATTTTTCAATATCGTGAGTGATGAATTAATGCGAATTACATGTACACTGTACTGCCAAACAAATAGTAATACATGTAGTTAGAAATCTATTGCACAAAACTTGCACTAAAATCCTGGAAAATCCCAGAAAAAAAATTACTCAGTCACTTTGAAAATTTCATGTTTTTACATAGAAGAATTTGAAAAATTTGAACTGTTAATCAATTTGGAAAGAAGATCTCACTGAAAAAAAGCAATTTAGAGTCCCCTTAAGCTGGCCCCTGGACCCATGGCCGTGACCTGCGACCTGGTTACTCCAGGTCCCTTCACTCCCTCAGTTCTCCACTGTCATGTCCTGCTCTCAAATATGGCTGGCTGTAACACTGAGTACAACATAAAATGCATGTACTCGGCCACATAATCTGGCAGAGAGATGACATATGCCAAGGGGAGAGGGATGTAGTAACAAGCAGCCTGGCCCCTCCGAGACCCTCCCATCATGAGTCACAGTTTAGGAACCCACTCGTACATGTACATGACAAAATGCTCTCTTCTTGTATCTTCCCTCCCAAACAACAACTCACCCCTGATTGGGATCCAGTGAAAGTCAGACCAAGTTCAGGAAGCCGGACTGACGACTGACTACGTAGCAAAGCGTAGGGCATCTGTCACCCACCCGCGCCTGCCAGAGAAGACAGACTGGGCTCCGAAGCAAAAGTATATCTGCCTGGCCGATAAAGTCAGTGTAGAGGCCTTGATGGTTCAGCGACAGGATTTGAGCAATTTGTGTCTTATGAACAGGGAGATAACCACTTAACCCAGCTTTATTTTTCTCTCTGTTTCTCTCTGCTGGTGATTCATGAAGAAAAATACTTACTCAAACCTGTCCCAGTATTCACCCCCCCTCACCTTCCCGTGGACCAGTGCCGATACCCGAAGAGCAGATGAAAGAAAAGCATTGGCCGACTGAACCCTCCAGTTGTCAGCACCGTACTCTGAGGGGACCATCCCTCTTTATTTCCCCTTTTTTTTTGGTGTGTGGCACCGTTACAACTGAGCGAAGTAATTGCATTAGGAAAACTCTTCCAAACTGCATTAGCGAACCGCCTGCCAATCAAAGCCGTGCAATTGATCTGGCAGGCAAGCACATAAAAAGCATTGATCGGTTCAGTGTTTCACACCTTCATTGATCGCGAAGGCAGGCCCAGTGAATTAATGACCACATGTACATGCGAGTGCCACTGGCTGTAATGACGATGAATTTTCAGTTGAGCAATTTTAATACCTGCTACAAATAGGCATTACCTGTAACTTCAAGTAAGATTTACTTGGTTGGCTGATCTTCAGAATTGTACAGCTTATAATCTCAGCCGGTGTGGTGGAGACTCGGCATTCTTTGCATATTATTTTATGTAGATGCAAAGTACGGGTACCAGTCCCAAATAACTGTTGGGGAGTTCCCTATTATGTCCCCAGAAACACATCCCATGTACCGGTGAAAAGGAACTCTTTTGTTCAAGTACAGTGTACCTTCGAAGAATTAATTCCACTTTTGGCTTAATTGATGTGGTGACATAAAATGCAAATGAGCAACTTACATTGTAAATTGCCAGGTAAGCTTGCTGAAGGGAGAACTTTGTTGGCGTGCGAGTTTGCTGTTGACAGATACGTAGGTGTAAGTACCAATATGTACATGAATTACCAGACAACCTTGACATAGTATGTGTACCTATGTTGCGTGGTTGATTCCGGA